GCCTGATGACCCTCACCCCTGCCTGGTGACCCTCACCCCTGCCTGATGACCCTCACCCCTGCCTGGTTACCCTCACCCCTGCCTGGTGACCCTCACCCCTGCCTGGTGACACTCACCCCTGCCTGATGGTCCCCTGCTCATCAGGCCTCCATTAAAAGCAGCCTTCTTTGTTTACAACTTTTATCTTTAAAATTTTTAGTCGACACAAACAGCTCCATAGTTCTCAGGCATTTCTAAAAATGGTCTCCTTAAACAGGTTTGTAAACGCAAGAAGGGTCTCTGGTTTTATCACAAAGCCTGGGAGCAGTAAGAAACTAGAAGCAAGGGTCCTAATGCTGGGACTCTACTTTCAGTCTGATTTTCTACATTGTGTTGATGAGGAAGATGCCGTAAATCAAGAATTTTTTTCCAGTTCTGTCAAGCATGACCAGCCACAATGAGTGTACTATAAAACTTGGTCATTTAATAAAGTAACAAAAAGGCATAATTAACCTCCAGCCCTAAATCAGGTGCCGTTCTTGTGTATTTTTCAAATAGTTTCATTTTTATAAATTTCTTTATTAAATATATTCATTTTATGTGTAAGCACTTTGTCTACATGTATGTGTGTTCTTACAGGAGTGTGCTAGGTGCCCATGGAGGTCAGAGGGCATTGGATCCTCTGGAACTGGAATTATGGATGGTTGTGAACAACCATGGTGGTACTAGGAATTGAACCTGGGTCCTCTGGAAGATCATCAAGTGCTCTTAACCTCTGAGCCATCTCTCCAGGCCAAATAGTTTTATTCTAAAAGAAGTCATTTGTATACTTTGAGGAAATTACATGAACAATATGGTGTCATACACATTAGACCTTTAAATAACCATCTCATTATTTTGCTAGGAGTCTGTACAGTTTAGCAGGATGTGTGCCATAAGCATCAGGGCATTCAAACGTAAGCTTAACGAACTATTTACATTATTATAGTTTGTATATTCTCTTTCACACACATACATCATACATACACATTGACATCAACATGCAGGTAGTGATATGTTTACAAGTGTGACATGTTTGTAAGTGATATATAAATTTAAACGAATCTTTGCTTGAATGTGGTGGACTGTGTTATAATCCGTGAATTCACTGACGGTCGGGGAGGGTCTTCACTGTCGTGGCAAATGCTCAGCAAATGCTCAGTTAAGATTTCTTCATCAGGCCCACTGGAGGCACTTGATAACACCTGGAATCCCTGTACTCCAAATTCACTTCATTTCCTTTCTTCTTCCAGACCCCCTTGTACTTGGTAAACCATGGGGAGAGTGGACCAGTGAGGTGCAACAGGTGCAAAGCCTACATGTGCCCGTTCATGCAGTTCATCGAAGGCGGACGTCGCTACCAGTGCGGATTTTGCAGCTGTGTGAATGATGGTAAATGGTGCCACTAAGTGCACGTTGTAACGCTTTTTATTTAAAAGTAAGATGTATTATGCTCCTTAGCTTAGGAAAGACAGACAGACTCCCCCACCCCAGGTGGCACTACTTGTAATTTCCCTAAATGGAAGCTTTTACTGATGGAACAAGGTTCCTGTTATCTGCACGTAGCTGCGGGAGCCCCACATGGACATTGTGCTGAACCTTCCCATAACACTGGAGTGTGTGGTAGGGGATCAGGGTCTCCTTCCACATTGCCCCATTAGAAGGCAGTTCGAGAGGTTACTTCTTGCCTTTTCAGAAGATAAGTTCTAGAAACATCTCTTTCATCACTCCTGGATTGCCCTTGAATAGAAGCTCATTGGTATTTAAGAAAAGCTCAGATACATCCAAGGGCTTTATATAAATGTTTATATAAATGTTGAGTCTTAAGGGGGTGGGGCATTAGTTTGATTCTATGTATTTTTGTTTCATCCTAGCACAAAATCCGCTAATGTTGATGTTCTTAGACCGTGTGAGTGAAGCTACCACAGAGAGAGCTCACAGATAAAGCAATTGTCCCATAAGCACGAGGGCTTGAGTGTGGTCCTCAGGACCTGTTATGAAAAATAAGCAAAGCATATTGAGGGCTGGAGGAAACTGAAGCAGGAGAATTCCTGTGGCTCCCTGGTGGGCCAGCCCAGCCAAACGGTTGAGCTCCAAGCCCCGGAGACTCTGTCCCAAATAACAAAGTAGATGGCTCCTGAGGAATGACACCTAAGATTGCTGTCTGGCCTGCCCCGTGCAGCTGTGTGCGCGCGCACACACACACACACACACACACACACCAGGGGAGAAACAAATTATATGGCAAAGCATAATTTATGGTGTGACTTGAATTTTGGTTGATGATAAATGACAGATAGTATTAAATGTTATAATGAACATGTAAAATGAATTTTAAAAAAATTCACACTGTGTGTAAGTGTGTGAGTGAATTATACATTACGCTATATAGAAATTACCATCCCACACATTATAGACCAGATTACTCAGAGGTCTGTATGGCATATACAGATATGTAACTAAGTCCCCATCATGGCCCCTCTGGCTTATTCATGGAGAGAGACTGTTATCTTCCTCTTCTGCAATCTTTTCAAGATGTTGAATTTGCCAAGTTCAGAGTCAAATATGTAAATATAAACTTTATGGAGCTCACTTCTAAACCGTGATATGGTAAGGACACAGAATACTCAAGTGTCTGTAAAGTTTTTGAAAGTCCAACTTTAGAAAAATCGTCCTATATTAATTTGCATGTTCACAGCTGAGCTTAAGAACTGCTGAGTGTTGGTGTCAACCCCAAAGGTACTGCTTTTGTGGGGTTTTTACAAAGGGAGATGCTGTCCTTAGCAAAATACTTGAAACAAAAGCCTTCGTAACTTTCCCACATACTGTTAGCAGAAGTTTTGCAGTCTTCCCTGGCCATCTCCAGGCAACGGGAGCTCTTTCACACAGACACCAGACCTTATTTGTCCAAGTGTTCAGTGTGTGACTCATAAGTCTTGCTCTGCCTTTGGGTGACTTCCAGAGCTTGGCTAGAAGTAACCTTCTGAGACATTTGTATCAAATTAGATTGCAGCTGAGCTCTCCCAAGTGCAGTCTTTCCCTAATACAGTATTCTTCTACATGAGTAGGGCCAGATGCTAGCAGATGATCATGTGAATGCCCAGGGCTGAAGACGTCCTTAATTAAGGTGAAACAAAGACCTTAGCTGATTAGTGTAATCCAAATAGTCAGCATTGGTTTCTGTCCCATATGTTAAAAATTCAGATAGAAAACTAATTTTGTTTTTTTTAAAAAAGGAAGTAATTAGGTAGAGGTGAATATTTGGATGTGTTAGCTTGAAAACAGCAGCACTGTTTTCTAGGGTTTCCAAAATTATAAATGTCCTTTGCCATTAAGAGCTTTTATATGTGCAAGAGGATTTTTTTTAATAAAGTTATCATTCTGCTTTCACAAATGTGAATATTGTGGTCTATGGCTTTCTATATGTATAAAATATTTCATGACTAAAATGTAGTAATACAGTATAGTGTGAAATAGTAATGAAGTAGTCATGACTGATGAAATAAATACTGATGAAAATTGTATATAAAATTACATAGTTTTATAGATAGAATTCCAGGCAGATTGATTTGACTATAAATAATCAAAATTTATATATGACAAAACTATTACAAACATAATTAAAAGGCAGGATTGTAGTGGTTTACAACATATACCAGAGTCAAAAAGTTAAAGAAAGAGAAAACTCATATTTTTCACATATTTCTAAGACATGTTTTCAAAATGATAGCTGCTGAGAACAGCTTGTCTTCTTACTCTAGCTCCTTTCCTTTATGATACATTTTGGGGATTTATTGGGTTGTCTGCTTATGAAAACAAAGAATTTCCTGCTCTGTTTTGTTTTCCTTAGTCCCACCATTCTATTTCCAACATCTGGACCACATTGGGAGGAGGCTGGACCACTACGAGAAGCCAGAACTGTCACTGGGATCCTATGAATATGTTGCTACGTTGGATTACTGCAGAGTGAGTGTTGGCGGGACTTACGTGTTTCTGTGGTGATGTTGACTTTCAGTGAACAGCTTCTGTATGTAAAGATATGTAAGACTTGGTCCACAGACAGGCAATGCCGGGGCATGTGGAGATATGTCAGAAACAGATCTGACCTAAGTCACTAGCACGAATGGGTTCCTGAGCTGTCTCAATGTAGTATAGAGAAGGAAACAATTCTTTTTGTTTGCTTGCTTGCTTTGGTTTCTGAGACAGGGTCTCACTTAGTTTGGGCCTTGACCTTGCTGAAGATGACCTTGAACCTTGATCCACCATCTCCTAAATGCAGTAACTCCACTCGGGTCTCTTTGGTTAATGACTTCTCTACCAAGGCAGAAACGTAACCAGTATTCCTAGAGGGCTGCTGGCTTCCTTGCTTTAATGTGTAATTCAGAAACTCATTTGACTATCACTCATAAACTTCTTTGTTTTTTTTTCTTAAAAGAAAAAAAAATCACAAAATTAAATTTCCTTATAAAGCCACTGACCATCAGACACAATGCTACCACCGAAGATCTGTCTTCAATTGGAGGAAATTCTCAACGCCGAGACTGACTTTATCAGTTTATATAGTAAAGATAAAGTGCCTTTCTACTTTCCTATCATGTGTATATGGCACACTCCTACTTATTCTCAACTTACCGACTAGCTGAAAGTTTATTATGAGCATAAATCTTCATACATATTTGATATATACATATACATATACATATACATATACATATACATATACATATACATATATATATATATATATCAAATAACCATATACACTGAAAAGAAAACTGCAGAATCGTATTTTCCTCTTCATTTTAGTTAATAATCTTAATGTGGATTTTAGGTAATACAGTTAGCATTTGTTGAGTACCAAGTGTATCTGTGCTAGGTACTTCTTACATCTGTGTTAGGTTATTTAGCTCTCACAGGGAGCCCATGTATTGTGTACCACATTGTATGAGGACAGGTGTGTGTGTGTGTGTGTGTGTGTGAGAGAGAGAGAGAGAGAGAGAGAGAGAGAGAGAGAGAGAGAGAGAGCTTAAGCTGCAGACAAGCACAGAGAGTAAGGGTACTACACTGGCCTTGTAGGCTCTGAGCCCTACCTCCTGCTGGTATACCATGAAGAAGTGTGTAGATATGTGTTTTATAAAGTCTGCATGGAGTTTCCCTGGGGAGATGCAAATCTATGATCAGCTTTTCTTCCTGAATAAAACTGTAGGTTTGGTTTTGTTGTTGTTGTTCATTTTAATTCATTTTGACATTTTTGGGATACTTTGCATATCCAACTTGTCTTTGTACTGTAAGAATTCCCCCAAATAAGCAGTATGATAAACAAGTTCACAGAATATGCCTGATAGTCAGAGTGTTGGATGAGGGCATGTCAGAGGCAAACCAGCTAGCCAGGAGCAGCTAGCCGGGTGTGGGTGGTACACGGTTTTAACCCCAGCACCCGGGAAGCACAGGCAGATGGATCTCTGTGAGTTTGAGGCCATCCTGGTCTACATAGTGACATAGTGAATTCCAGGACAGTCAGAGCTATATAGTGAGACTTTGTCTCAAAACAAAACAAAAAATAAAGTAGAATAAAAGAGCCATGAGCATGTGTGTGTGTGGTGGGGGGGTCTGGGAGTGGGGGAGGGGGGGCAACGACACTGTAGAGGGAGCCAAGGTGGGTCACTGACGGACAGATGACTGAGGACTTCTCAAGGGCTCTGAAGACATTTCAGAGGACTGACTATCATGACCTCCTGTGAAGTCGTCTTTTTAAAACACTATGTCAAATAAAACATGTGGGGGCCGTGACTCTGTACAGCAAGTGTTTGGAAATGGCAGCCATTTAAATTGAGAAGATGCGTATTGGAGAGTGAGAATTAAATTGAGGAAGCATTTTGAGACAGATCCATCCGTTTGATTTGTCCTGGGGTTAGCATTGTGTCTGTGAGCTTTTAGTCTTTATACATATTGGAAAGGAGTGTTATGGGCAGTCTTGATTGACAGGGTGTGGGAGAGCTTATGTTACTTTAATATTGGCGATAACGAAAAGAGAGGAGGCGTGGCTCCCATTGGATTCTACTGCCATGCGAGCGCACGCTCGTGCACATACACATACACACACACACACACACACACACACACACACACACACACACGCACGCATGCACGCACCTCATATATTGTTAGGCATGAATGTTTAAAAGTGTATTATCCTCTTGGATATTTACCTTTTCTCCTTAATGAGTGTGTAGTGTCCTTTCCTGTCTCCTCTGATTGGATTTAGTTTGAAGTCAGTTTTGTCAGATATTAAAACAGCCACACTTGTTAGCTACTTGGACCAGTTTACTTGCCTTTTTTTTTTCCCATGAGGCGATATCTTCCTTGTTGCTGAGGATTTTTGTTTTTTGGTTTTTTGTTTTTAAATCCTGTATGTTAGTCTATCATTTTATTATCCCAGTTTGGATTTGCTTTAGTGCAGTGGTTCTCAGCCTTCCTAGCACTGTGACCCTTTAATACAGTTTCCCATGTGGTGACCCTCGACCATAAAATTATGTTTGTTGCTATTTCACAACTGTAATTTCACTACTGTTACAAATTGCAATGTAAAGATCTGATAAGCAGGATGGTCTTAGGCAAGCCTGTGAAAGGGTCATTTGACCTCCAAAGGGGTCACAGCCCACAGGTTGAGAACCACTTGGTTCTGTTTGTTTAAATTCTACTTTCAGATCCGGAGATGTTTTCATTATTTCACTCAGCTCTTTGTCTTTTCAGTGTCCATTAAGGCATTTATTCATTTCATCTTTAAGGTTCTTGAGTGTGTTCATGACTGTCATTTTGAAGTTCTTCTTATACACCTTGGCTGAACAAGGCCTATTGCAGTAGAGTTGCTGGCTTCCGGAGGAGCCGTATTGGCTGTTCATGTTTGAGTTCTTGTGCTGGGATCCAGGCATCTGGAATTGTATTTGATTTGTTTCTTGGTGTAGATGCCTGGTTTTGTTTTTGTTAGGTTGATTCTGAGTTCATTGGTTGTTGTCTCCGGCTCTGGATACTAGGCAGGTGTGGCGGCTGTGGGGTTCCTGGTTGGGAACATTTCTGCTGGTCGGCATGTGACACAAAGGACTGGAGATGCTCTAGGGAGACAGGCAGAGATGGGGAGACCCTGGCTCTGCTCCCAGAGGAGGAATTCTCAGGGAACACAGGTGAGGTAGGAGGTGAGATTCCTGCAGGCAAGCCGCAGCATGTAAGAGTAAGTCCCAAGGACCAGAATGGAAGACAAGAAAGATACTGAAAAGTCCCCTACCCGTGTCCCAGTCCGGCATGGGGGTATCAGGTAGAAAGTGTTTCTGCAGGCTGGTGACTGACATGAGGGAACGGAGGTGGATGGAAGGGAAGGTGGTGCGGGTCTGAGGGAAAAGGTAGGGGGGTCCTGGGTTCACACCCAGCAGCCAGAAGAACCATTTTAAAAAGAGAAACAACTGACAGGGATCCTAACTGTCACATGCAGTGTCAGGTCTGTCATGTTTGCTGTCACTGATAGAAACCGGAAGGCAGTGTGGTTAGGAGGAAGTAGAGATTAACTTTACACATGTTGAAAACAAGCCTTAGTGACTGAAGGATTCCCAAAGAGAGACGCTGGCTAGAGTTACGGAGAGTGACTTACCGTGAGTGTCCCGGAGAGTACCAGAATAATAAGACACCATCGGGATTGCCACAAAGAGATGTTGCTTTAACTAGTGAGATTAATTGCTATTTTCATCGGCTATAGTCCACAGTATGGAACGGAGGAGATGAAACTTGGAAGTGACTTAAGCTTCCTATTCCCTGGCTGTTCTGATTTTGGATTGGAAGAGTGACCTTTTCAGATTGATTTTTAAATCTTCCAAGTTCTTATTTGAAATGGAGAATTTTATTAGAACAGTATTATATCCAACCTTATAGTAGGTAAGAACTGAGTCAGAGATCACTTATAATTCTCACCATCTAGCTGTATAATAATTGAACAACATTTTAATTTTAGAACATGTTTATGCTTTATCATCGGATGAAACGCTGCTGCTCTTGGGTCTTTACCCTCGAGTGGAGGTCACTGATCATATTTGCCTGTGGCTTTCTTTTCTAAACATTTTATAAATCCCAGTTGAAAGATCGCTTCCTTCTGAGCTGTTTGGACAGCAGCCAGATCGGAGAACAGTAAGAGCACATTGTCCTGACAGCTGCTTTATGTTCCAGTGACCGTTGCAAAAGCATAGGGAAGGGACCGTCTTTCTTTATCACAAATGTGAAGCAAGTTTTGGAATTCTTTTATAATGTACATTTTTAAGGTATGCAGTTAAATCATAATAGACATTTCCATATCTGTAGTTGAGCGTGGTTATTACAGGTTATATTCCTATAATCCCAACAGCGGGGAGGTTTAGGCGAGAGGATTGACTGTGTTTGAGGCCAGCCTGGGCTACACAGCAAGACCTTGCCTTAAAAAGAAAAATTATCATATATAAAAAAAAAACCAAAGGAACTCATAAGAGAATAGACCTGAGAATCATGGTATTCCCATTTATAAAGTTTGGTTACAACTTTCAAAAAAATGTATAATCCTTTGCAGCATTCTTTCTCAGGGCCCAGATATATTCCCTTCTGTAAGGGAGCGTGTCACATGCAGGGCTGGCTCAATACTTGACTTCCCTTCAGCAGTCATGGTAGAGGAGTCTCTGGAGATATAAAAGTGAGCTATTTCTGTTAAATATAATAAAAAGTTTGTGTCATAACCTGGAAAATAAGCATTTTTTAATCTTTTTATAGCAGTGGGCCACTGGGTTTCCTAGAAAGTTATTTGATCCACAGATGTTATAACCTAAGCATTGAATGAAGCATCTGATAGTCTTCAAGCATTTGTTTATGTTTGATTATGAAATATGCTTACTTTGTATCAACTTCTATGATGTGTTTGCTTCCCTGCAGAAGAATAAACCTCCCAACCCACCAGCCTTCATCTTCATGATTGATGTCTCCTACAGTAACATAAAGAATGGACTCGTCAAGCTCATATGTGAAGAACTGAAGAGTGTGCTGAAGAGGCTGCCCAAGTAAGGGAGCTGCTGCTGTCCTCCTGTGAATTACAGGAGTTCAGCAGACTGGCTGATTAATATCGTTTGCTAGTGAGGACATTATAGTCAGTTATAAATCAAACTGTACCATTCTTCTGGGTATTTAAAACGTCAGAGTGGATGCTTGTAGAAAGAAAAGAAAACAGAGAAAGAAAAACAATGGTAGATAAATGAAACATCTCAAAAATACTTCATCAATTACAGGAGAATCCCAGTTGTAAGTATGTGGGGGAAAACTCTGGAAGCCTGTCCCACAAAAGCTGATAGTGGCAGAGTTCAAGGGTTCCAGAAAACTGAGCAGTTGTCCTAGGACAGATGGAATCTTTTTAGCCAAATTCCCCTCTGTTCTTGTGATATGACCAAGCTCTGTGCTGCTGCTTGGGTGTCCTGGCTTAGCAGTGTGAAGGGAGCCCCTGTTCCCTGTCATTTCAGCGAGCAGCACTGTAGGCAGGGAGGCAGAGGTGCCTCATTCACCTGCAGCCTAAGCAGGTGACCACATCCTGCTCTGATACATTCGTGCTGCAGCTGCTTTTAAAAGGCTAGCTGGCCTGTTACCTGCTTTAGTATGAAAAAGGGAAATAAAACTGATGGCAGTTTTAACCGTGAAAATATAATTGTATATGCGCACAGCCTACATTAAATTTGGCAGAAAGAAAGAGAATAGATTTGCTTTGAGAGGTGAGTGAAGGGTGCACAAAAGCATTTTTTTAATGTAAATAAAACCCTTACAGAGATTTGAAAACTAACAGGAAGTAGCTAGTAGAATCCTTTCATTTTTCTCTCTGGACTTCCCTACTAAAACTAATATCATGGCTAGGTTTTCATTGTCTCTGTACACAAGCTAGCTTTTGGGACTGGAGCTAATACCTAGCATAGAGACAGGGGAGTAGAGGATGTTGCCTTCCTGTCAAGAGGCCCTGAAGAGAGGATGGGGAGCCCAGGACTTGCTTCGTACCCCACACCTTCCACCCTCTCCCCCAGCTTGCTGAGCCCACGGGGAGTAACATCTGTTCTGGACAGGGGTGTTTGGGTAAGGAGGCATTCTTTAGCCATGGTGCTTCTTGGCCTTTGAGTGCCCACCCCTCTGTAGTCTTTCCACCAGAATTGATGCTTTGTCTATGGGAAACTTGACCATGTGGGCTCCGGACCTCCCAGGAGCAGCTCTGTTTGTATCTGTTAAGATGAACTCATAATATTGTTGAGATGGTTTGTAACGCAGGGAGGATGTTTGAAAAACACTGAGGTGACTTCAGACTGGCCTGAGGTGAAAAGTGAGCTGGAACCAGCTGCAGGTTGGCAAGCAGAGGCCCCAGGCCTCAGAACCGCTCTCCCATGGGCTGCTTTAAGTTCAAATCTGAATTTTGCATTTACTTTGTAAGAAACAGAGCCACCGGGCAAGTTTCGGACAGCGAACTCTCCTTTTATAGTCTCCCACTAAGTTAGGCTAACATTCCTTCACCAACAGTCACTCCTCAAGCCCCTCGTTCCTTACCAGGGCAGTGGTGTGAAGTTTGCAGCGTGTTGCTCTAAGATCTGAAAGCACATATTCCATGTTCTCTCTAACCGCACCCCCTGAAGCACATATGTGACTTGGGCAGAAGACTAGAGAGACAAGTTGGAGGTTACAGCTGGTGGCTCTCGACCTTGTTCAAATCTCTCGGAACTATACCTTTTCAACCTAATCGTCTTCATCTTTTAAAAAGAAACCTGGCTGCTTTCTGTCTGAAATTTGTCTTGGTCTCTGTGCATGTGTAGTTTTATTATCTTTATCGTAAGACTGCCCTGTCAATTTGATTTCTCTTTTTGTACTAAAGCAGGCAACATTTTTGTTTTAACATGGCAGACAACAGTCTGCGTGTGCTTGGTGTTCTAGAATGTTCTGAGTCTTCTGAAAAGAGAAGCCCCTTTCTTTTCTGTTTGAAATTGTATCTGGCCTTGAAAAGTTTCTAGATTTTCTGACTGTTTTGGAACAAGGAAGAAAAACTTTAAAATCACTCTTTAGTTATTCATAGCAAGTCATTGGGTTATTTTGACTTTTCGTTTGTTTTCAATCGACATTGAAACTAAAATATTGGAAATGGGGCTGGCAGAATGGCTCAGCTGGTAAGCACTTGCCACTTTATTTTATTTATTTTATTTTATTTTATTTTATTTTATTTTATTTTATTTTATTTTATTTTATTTTATTTTATTTCAAGTGCAAGAGCCTGAGTTCTGTTTCCAAAATACATGTGAGAATACCAAACCCTTGGACTGGCAGCTAATTTAGCATAATTGGCGAGCTCTGGGCCAATGAGATACTTTGTCTCATAGGACATGGATAATTTCCTGAGGGCGACACCCTGTGATGTCTGCTGGCTTTCACACATACCCGGACACACATGAATACACACAACAGTACAAAAGAGTACAGCTGTTTAAAAATACTAAAAATTTGGAATTTTGTAGCTTATCTGCTTCCTTATATCTGCAGTATTGCTTTGCCAGATTTATACTATTAAAGAGTCTGGCTGCAGTAGGAGAGAGGGGAGCTGAAAAGCAAAAGAGTTAGCCTGTCAAACTCTGACATCTTCATGAATTAGAGTCCTTCATGTACCCACAGACATACAGAGTCCTTCATGTACCCCACAAAATTACAGGGTCCTCCATGTACCTCACAGAATTATGCAGGATCATTCTCAGATTTATAGAGTCTTTTATGTGCCCCACAGAATTATTCAAAACCCTTCATGTACCCTAAAGAATTATATAAAATTATTCACATACCTCTCAAAATTATATAGAGCTAATGTGGAAAGACAGAGTTCTTCATGTGATATAATGTATATGTTATAGTGTTGGGGAAATTTTAGGGCAGTTATAACATTGAAGGAAGGTTTTTTTGACAGTTTTGTGTTTGTTTCTCAAAATAAAAGGCATCATTTCTGTGAAGATGAAGGATGTGAGGTGTTCTGATTAGATGCTTTTCTAAAATGGTCATTTAGATTTTCCGTGACCTCTGTGGATCCCACTGTGCTCTTTCCCATTTGCAATATACCCAATCCAGTGAGAGCGATCAGTCTGGGGTGGGGGGGTTGAGGGAGGAGAGAGGGAGTGGGAGGGGGAGAGATGCTTTATTTGGCTCCATTTTAACTATGAAAAGAGAATCACTCGCTCATGATTTATCATACATTTTTACTTGAGCAATGAAAGGTTACTGGGAAACAAAGGGTGAATAAATGATATGCTGGTGAACTGTTTGTCAAGTAAACCCGTGGCTTGTAGCATTTGTTCACTGCACATGTCAGTATTTCTAGCCAGGCTGATTTTAAACCAGAGTTGCCCCATCATGGCTTACCTTTGGACTTCTATTACAAAAGCAGCAGGAAGAAGGGTTTATTTTGGCTCACAGCTTAAGGGCGTACAACATCATAGCAGGGTAAGGCAAGACAGATGGATTACATCTCATCAGCAGTCAGGAAGTGGCAAGAAAGGAATACAGCTCTCTTGAGCCTCTTCCTCCCTCCCTCCATCTCTCTCTCCAGTAATTATTTTTAATTATGAGTATGTGCACATGAGAACAGATTCCCAGAGGCTTCTATAGAAGAGAACTTCAGCTTCCTCTGGAGCTAGAGTTATAAGAAATTGTGCTTGACATGAATGTTGGGGACTGAGCTCAGATCCTCTGCGGGACCACTACATGCTCTAACCACTGAGCTATCTCTCCACCAACCTTTGTCTTCTGTTTCCAGTCTGGGACGCCCCCACTTCTTCCAAGGAGTGTTACTGCTCACATTCAGGATGAGTCTTTGACCCAATCTTGATACTCTGTCACAGACATGCCCAAAAATCTGTCCCTCTGTCGATTCTCAGCCCACTCAAGCTAACAATCAGGCCTAATCATTACAGGCTGTGATTTGCCACCCCAAAGTCCAGCGTGTTTTACCAGCATGTAAGTTATCTTCAACAAAGCTCCAATTTCACCATTGCAATAGACTCTAGAGTGGCCTAGGGGTCGGGGCAGGGGGATTTTCCCTCCATTGGCTTCCGGCTGTACTACACACTAAGAGTCCAGTAAAAAATGCTTTACAGGGATTTAGAAGAGGAAATTACTTCTAGCTGGCGGCCTCAGGAGATTTCACAGAGGAGGAAGAATTTATGTTTGGTCTTGACAAGCAAGACTTTAATAATGGAGACAGGGAAAGCCCAGGAGCAGCATGGTTTACAAGATATAGCTTAGGGCAGCACAGCATGCAGCGTAGCAGCCGTTCATGTGAAGTCACACAGCTCAGGACGTACATGTGTGCACATGTGTGTAATTACACTTGTGTATATGCAGTTCATGAGGACCCTCAGCTTGCAGAGGTCCCTCATGTAAACATTTGCTCACTGCTTTTGCAGCAGGTTATAAGAACCTGTTAAACTTTATCCATTGATCAAAACCACAATGAAGAAAGAAGCAAGACAGAGAAAAGTCAGTTCTTGTCAGCCTGTACTCTAGAGTCTGCAGTGGAAGCTGGGATCTCATTCTGAGATATTTCTTTGTGGACACTTCCACTTCCTTTCTTACTTGTACTCAGATCTCTCATATAAACATACATACACACCCACACACATGCATATACATATGCACGCACTATACACACTACGCACACCACACACCATACACACACAAATGTGCATGTGTACACACTATATACACGTACACACACCACACAGACATATATACATGCACATACTCCCCACCCCCCCACACTTCTCATTCATTGTTTATTTTATTATTTAAGGCTTTTGAGAGGTCTTGTTGTTGTTGTTGTTTTGGTTTTTAGAGTCAATCTCATGTAGACAAGGTTGGCCTTAAAAGAAACGACTTAAGAGATTTCGTCATCTTCTCATGACCATCACAAGGAATCTTGCTTATCAGTGTAATTTACTTGCTATTATGTTTCTGTGGTGTGTTGTTAAGATCTAGCTATTGTTACACTGAGATTTTGTAGGCTGTGCAGTAGAAGAACCTTGCAGGACAGAAGGTCCTTCCCTGATTCAACAACTGTCCTGTCAGTAATGCCAGCATCCCTTTCCTCCCGCTGCATCAGACGTCTCATTGGCTATGCACATTTTATTTACATAAGTGCAATAAGCCCAGGCTGTTCATGGACAGTCTCAGTCTAATTTTCTATGAATTGAAAATAAAGCAGGCATAGTGGCAGATGTCTTTAATCCCAGCACTTGGGGAGCAGAGTAAGTGGATCTCTGTGAGTTCAAGGCCAGCCTGGTCTACATAGTGAGTTCCAGGACAGCCAAAGCTACAGAATGAAACCCCATCTTGAAAAGACCAAAAGTAAATAAAGAAAGAAAAGAAAAAATATATGAGCAAATATGAACAAATGTTTTCATAATATCTAATCCTTGACCCAGAATTTTGAGAATGTTTTCCTTTGTCAACCTGCTTATTTTTTAAGTAATCCCTATCCCTTCCCGCCATGAAGGTCAAGAGAAATTAAAACCAGAACTGTAAAGATGCGTTTCATATGTTCTATAGGAGACATTGATGTTGTGTTTAAGGAGAAGCCTCATCTCACAGGCAGAAAACTGACGAAGGCAAGATGCTCTCCAAGTCTCCACTCAGCACCCTAGAGCAAGTTCTGTGTTCTTAAGAGCTCCTGCCTTAAGTTCGGTTTTGTTTTTCCTCCTAGGGAGGAGCATGAGGAGACATCTGCAATTCGAGTTGGTTTTATCACATACAACAAAGTTCTCCACTTCTTTAATGTGAAGAGTAATCTGGCCCAACCTCAGATGATGGTGGTGACGGATGTCGGAGAGGTCTTTGTTCCCTTGTTGGATGGATTCCTTGTCAACTATGAAGAATCCCAATCTGTGATCCATAAGTAAATATCAACTGTCTTCCAGTTAGATGCAGATCAGACGTGTGTTTGAACCCCCATTGTGTTGCAGTTAACTACAAGTATTGTTTGGCTTTGTCACTGTCTGGGGATGGGGGTGGGGGGACGGGGATAAGGTGTAGATTATACAACTCTTGTCATTTCTGGTAGATTTACTTCTTTCTAGTGTATAGACCATTTTTAAAATATTCACTCTCAAGCCTTTAAGTTCTTTCTCCTTGTTGGAAAGGGAAGGAAATGGGAGCATTTCTTGCATGTGAATATTCATATTATGAGAGGGTATTCTTTAAAGAGTTCTGGATATTATAAGTAGGTAATATAGTGAATCAAAAAGTGTCTACAAAGAAGATCAGTGTCCTATTCAAAGAGTAGGTTTGGGTGGCAGACCATGCTAAAATATTCTTCCCTAAGGGGTGTCTTTATCAGATCGCCCATTCCCTGTGGGTAACAGTTACTCACACATGCTGTTCATCAAGTAAATCCTGTATGTGTTGAGGCTTGAAACATCAGTGATTTATTTTCTGAAGTTTATGACAGACTTGCTGAGCATTAAAGCCTTTTCTCCATTTGTTTTCCTCAGTTTATTGGACCAGATTCCTGAGATGTTTGCCGACTCTAACGAAAACGAGACAGTCTTTGCACCTGTCATCCAGGCCGGTATGGAGGCCCTGAAGGTGAGGAATGACCACCTCGACTTGATAACGTTTGTAACAGAGAGACTTACAAAGGAGGTTTCATCTATGCAATACAGCTTTCATCAAAGCCCTAGGTTATTAGGGTGTCTAAACTTTCCCAGTTTTCAGGAGGAAGTAACCCAAGCCGCAGCCCCTCTCAGTGTTCACACCCCGGCACTGTCAGCATCAGAACAGCTAATGTTGTCTGGATTTCAGCCTAGCCCTTTCCTTTGGCTTTTAGATGAACTGTTTATGGTCTGTTTTTAAAGTTGGCTCAGTCAAATTGGAACTGTAGGATATGAAGAAGAAAATTCCCATAGCGTCCTCTCTGGGTTTTCAAACACACAAGGGCAAGGCCTGGGGACAGTTTGTGTCAGGGAAGTGACTGATGTGCCTGGTCTCATTGACTGGTGAAGTAGAGGTTGTCTTCATGCCCACTGTGGAGGCTGAGCCCTCAAACAACATTTTGTCTTCATAGGACCGAAGACGGCAGTGTTGGCCTTGACAGCTCGTGCCCGAACTCAGTCTTAAAACTGTATTGTTAAAATTAAATCCACACCAACTTTTAAAATAGAGTGACAGGAACAATACAAGCAAACAGGGAGAGTGTTGGTCTAGTCTCTTGAACAGATCTCACGTGAATGTTGTATCTAATTCTATAGTCTGACCTAGTGCCTGATTCTTGTCTAGGTTTTCTGATTCCTGAGTGTTCAGGTATGGCACCAGGAGCACTTGCTCATGGTGTTGTAGGTGTTCTTCAACTGTCAGACTAATTGGCAATTAATGTAAAACTAACAGTATATGCCACATCACATGTGACTTGGAGCTATTAGTATCTACCCCACTGAAAGCTCTGGGAATTGTGACATTACACATCACACATACATGTAAGCCTCTCTGGATTTTTTTTTTTTACTTTGAAGATGTTTGTTTTGTTGTCAGTGATGTTCTCTCCTCCAGTGAGGAGAAGTTCATAAGTAAATCTCTCCACGCATCAGAATTCATAAAGGACTCTGAACATCATTCTACTACTTTAAGACTGGAAGCGACATTTCATGTATGTGCTCATGTCTGAGGTGAATGATGACAAGCTGATATTTGCCTAAAACTTAATGTCAATTTTGAGAAGTCATTGTCCATAACAACAATAATAATATACTCTGAAGTTGCTTGTGTGTTGCTTACTGTAGCGTAAAGCATTCTCTGCTGTCCATTCATGAGTCTGGTTTACTGTAGTTCATGTGTCTTTATATCATTTATATTATTTTTGTTTTATTCATGTTTATTGTTACATTAATGCATATTAATATTATATTAATACTGAAGTATATGAAAACTGCCTTAGTGTTATCATTCCTGTGATGATAGAACGTGACCAAACGAAAGGTTTATTTGGCTTACACTTCCATATCCCTGTTCATCATCAAAGGAAGTCAGGACAGGAACTCAAACAGGGTGGGAACCTGGAGGCAGGAGCTGAGGTAGAGGCCATGGAGGGTGCTACTTTCTGGCTTGGTCATCATGGCTTGCTCAGTCTGCTTTCTCATTGAACCTAGGACCACCAGCCTCAGGGTGGCCCCACCTACAATAGACTGGACTCTGTCCCATCAGTCACTTTTTAAGAAAATATCCTATAGCTGAGTTTTATGAAATCATCATCTTAAAGTTCCCTCCTTTCAGATAACTCTAGCTTGGATCAAGTTGTCATAAAACTGGCCAATATAAAAACATTGATGTTTTAAAATGAGGAAAAAAAACCTTAGTATCCAAACATAGCAGTTCACCTGACTTCATGAATCCAAAGTCAGGTCTAAAATAGCTGAAGATCAGACTTAAGTTAGTATAGCTTACATAAGAAGCTTCTAAGATTCTCACCTGCAGCATTACTCCTGGGACAAAACCTAACGCGTTTGAGGATGTGCAAAGAAGAAACCAGTGTTGAAGAGGCCTTTCATTCACCCATTCATTCTTTTAAACCAATAAAATAAATCATTAAGTGCTTATGTTTTCAAGATGGTCTAGAGACTCTTGTCCTGCTCCTAAGTTTCCTGAAGTGTGGCCAGGGAGATTTAATTCTACAAGACATAGTTCTTCTAGTAGTAAAAACAGGGAGTGGGGAGGCCTAGGGTAACTTGGAAAAGTCCAGGACTATGGTTTGGTCAACAGATCAGGATATCATATACAGAGGACAGAGACAAGATCCTATCCACAATGGACAGGGTGTAGAAACCAAAGAAACATCAAAATGGAAACCCGCTTTATTGTATCTAAGTGAAGGCATTTCAGAACTAGGTTCCCCATTTGATTTACAACTTTTCTTTCATTCAGATAGATACCAAATAAACATTTTATATGTGTATATACATATACAATTATATATGCTACTAATTAAATTATTATATATCACAAATATATATTATATACCTATTATATGTATGACATATATATATATGAAATACACACACACATACACACACACACACACACACACACACACATATATATATATATATATGAATATAATAAACTTCTTAAATCGAGTAGAGCAGATAAAAATTAGCAAAAAACCCCACAGGTAAATTTGTCACAAAGATAAATAGTGACTGTTTGGAAAGTCCTGTGCACATTCTCAAATGTCCTTGAAATATTCAACTAGGGGCTTTATGCTTTTCTGTTGTGCTATGTCTGTAGCATTTTCTAAGCCCAGCCTTTCCCCTTCCCATGAGGTAAAACCTATATTTCCTTCAGACTCTGACACATGCATAAATCAATTACTTGAGAGAGCAACATTAGTAATATTAATCAACCAGCTGCCTCCTTCACTGTCAGTTGAACCAAGTGAAGGTGTGCTGGAGAGACACTTGAGTGGTTAGGAACACTTGCTACTCTTGCAGAGGATCCAGGTTCAGTTCCCAGCACCTCCATGGTGTGTCACAACCACCTGTAACTCCAGGGAATCCTATGCCCTCTTCTGGCCTCCATGCATACTACATGCACATGATATACTTCCTACATGCAAGCAAAACACTCAAACACATAAAATAAAAATAAGTAAATCTTTAAAAACAAGTTTGGCAAAAAGTTGTAGAAACATGGGTGTCAATGGTTATTTCTGCAATCTATCATGACCTGAGTGAAGGTGTTAAGTTCACCTTTAGATAATCCATAATTGGCACCAAAATTCAATTTTAAGATCCATCACAAATACTCCGCTCACAGACAATATGGAATACTTAATGAGGGAAAGACAGAGGCCCAATGTGGGGATATAAAACTATCTTGTCTTCAGGAGGTCTTTCATTTACAGAAGCTTGCTGCTTGCAAGAGATAGTGTCATGAATCCTAGAAGGTCCTTCCTCTAGAGTGGGAAGACAGAGAACGAGACAACTGGTTGGTTAATAATACTAATGTTGGTCTCTCAGAAGGAAGACTATTTATTACATTTAAGGTGAATTTTGCACAGAGTTTTCAAGGCCTGCCCTTCATAAGTAATTTCTACTGAAATCAGAAGAATTTGTGCCATTCATTTTGAATGAGTTCCTCTTGCGAGCACAATCAAATTTTGACAAAGACATCAAATTTTGTAGGGGTGTAAAACCATTCACCAGATAGAAAATGCTTTATAAGTCTGTAGTTAGCGAAAGTATAGCTTCAAAATGAAATGACTAAATAAGAACAAATAAAAATAGCTATGGTATCTGTCTTTACATATGTGTGTGTTGTATTCTTGTAAGTTTTTCTACCTATGTATGTATTGTGTATGTATACAAATGTGAGTATGTGTATGGACATATGTGTGCAGGTGTGCATATGTGTGAGTCTGTGTGTGGTGTGTGTGACTGTGTGGTAGGTGTGTGTATATGTGGTGTGTGAGTGTGTGAGTATATGTGTGGTATGTGTGAGTATGTGACTGTGTGTGTATGTGGTGAGTGTGTGTGTGTGGTGAATGTGTGTGTGTGTGTGTGTGTGTGTGTTTGAAGGCCTGAAGCTGATCTCAGGTATCCTTCCAGATTGGTCTTTTTTTTTTTTTTCTCCTTGAGGTAGGGTCTATCCTGAACTGGAACTTTGCCAATTCTGCCTATCCTTCTGTTTCTCCCAGTTGAGTACTGAGATTATAGGCATCCACTCTTCCTACCAGTTTTATTTTTTATGTCAGGGCTGGAGATCTGGGCTCAGGTCCTCACATTTGAATGGTAAGTATTTAATCTTTTGAGCCATCTCCATAGCCCCAGGCACTTTATACTTTTACAGTGCTGAATTTTTAATAGGCCCTGAGTAGGACAATCAGTTATGTTTATTATGATTAACTGAAGTCTTCCAACTCTTGTTTCTGTTACTATGTCTACTGCATCATGTATGGAATGAATGCAGCATAGAGAAGCTAAGTGGGTTTCCTAAAGCCGCTAAGCTAACACAGTGGCTAAGATTCTAACCCTAGCCTGTAGGAACTAGACCTGTGATCTTAATACCTACAGTACAAATGTTAGGCCTTCTGTGATTAGACACCACGGGTACAAGGAACTTAGTGAATTCTTTAGGGGAATTGGGTGGCACAGACAAGACATATTTTACTTTATATGTTTGAGAGCTGTGTGTGGCTGTAAGAAATATTTTTAGTTTGATCCAATTAAGACAGGAAGTCTCCATCTGATGAAATTTTCTTGTTGCTTTTTACAGTAAAAGATTAGATACTGTCTTGAAATCAGAAACAGAAGGGGAGGGTCATTTATATTTGAGGAAAAAGATGGTAGTGACAGTTCAGATACAAATACCGGCTGTTGCTTTCGTGGTGATTTTAGTGCTGAGGAACATTTTAAACCTACTAAAAAGTAGTAGGCAGTTTGCAAATGCTTTACTGATGCATACTCACTGCAGACAGTCCTCGATTGTTAGATTTCCCCAGCATCCCCTCTTTCCTCTCCCTCCGTAGTTTCTTTCCCTTCTCCAGTATCTGTTCTGCTAACATGTCATATGCACATGTGTGTATAAAACACAGGAGGCAAAAGTGGGAGGAAGTGTGTAGTCTTTCTGAGTCCGCCATATTTAACTCAGTATGATAACCCATCTCCATTTGCATCCATTGCCCAGCAAATTATTTCATTCTGCTGCTTTATGGCAGAATAAAATCCCATTGTGTATATGTTCTCTATGTCCTTTGTCACCTATTGATGAACACCTAGACTGATTCCATTACTTGACTCCCGTGAACAAGGCTATAGTAAGCATGGATTATTTTCAGGTATCCCTGTGGTGCGTGGCCTTAGGGGACTTTGTCTATGTATCCAGAAGTACTATATCTATGTTATCAGGCAAGACAGTGTCACATTTAAGAAAAGAAACTAACTGTTGGCGGTCTTTACCCAGGAATGAGCCTGATTGGATTTGAAGAATCCTGGCCACATCATGTCTCTTTGAACAAAGGCCATTCTCTGTGTGCTGAACAGCACAGCCAACATGGTAACAAAAGGGATGGAGAGGCTTAGGTCTTAATTGGTCTTCTCTAGGAGTCTCACAAGAGAGGAACTGACCCAGAACAGCACACAAAGCCACAGTCCTGTTATTGATCTATGTTCATGTGTTGTTGTTTTCTTTAACTCCTTTTGTTGATTTCAGTGCCTCTCTGCTTCCAGTGAATGGCTATAGATGAGGCCACCACATCTTACCCACACATATATTGCCCAAGTCAGTGGCATGCATGGGTCACCAAGGAGAAATAGAGCCTGTTATGTCAGGGAGTCCATCCTCAGAATGGTTATACTGTTTTCATCAAAGGGCACTTAATTCTGAACAGGCTGAGTACACAGAATGGAAGCAGGTTGACCAGATGGTCCTAAGTGACCTCCAAGCATATTATTAATTTGGTTGCAGGTTGAGTGAAAGTCTGATTGGTAAAGGCAGTCTACCAGCAGTGTTTCTTGGAAAACTCATTCCTGTATGGTGGTGGTTCTTCAGTTCCTGGAGGAAGCTCCACGCTCTTCTCCACACTGATTTGCATTCCTTCTAACAACATACAAGAGGTCCCTCTTGTCCTCTTCCTCAACAGTAGTTTGTTTCTTTCTGACTGGAGTGGGGTGCAAATTTTTCATATATCTATGATTCTCTTAAACGAAATCTTAACCCATAAGTGTTTTGTGTGATTCTGTAGGCAGCAGAGTGCCCTGGGAAGCTGTTCATCTTCCATTCCTCCTTGCCTACTGCCGAAGCACCAGGGAAGCTCAAGAACAGAGACGACAAAAAGCTGGTTAACACAGACAAAGAGAAGGTACTTGGGAACAGTTAGTCTTTGAGGTGTCGCTGAAGCAATGTTAGAAGGGGTCCCCCTCTTCAGGAGTATTTTCAACTGTAAAGGATTTCATGTTGCTAAAGATGGTGATGTCTGACATATCTACATATGATCACACGTCGTCCATATGTGATCTGTGAGACTGTTAGAGACATGGAGGTGGGTATTGCGTGAAGAGGAGAAAAGTGGAGAGGGAACACAGATGCCCCGTGACCTCACTCACCAGAGGATGAGACACTAGTCGTGAAGCAAAGGCATCCAATGCTGAAAAGAAGCCTTTGCTCAAACCTGAGACAGTGCAGCAGCCATGAGCAGTCTCCAGTGGAAGATGCTTCTGGCTGAATTCACACATGTGTCAGTCACACAGCACCATCCAATCCACAGAACTTCATCTGGGATGGTAGATTGAAAGTGGGGTAGGGACACCTCCAGTAAGGGTATTGAAGTATCAAATAACCTGAAGGCAACTGTCTGTTTTGTTTCATTAGCCCAGTCTACCTAACTAGAGGGGGGAAAATCCCATATTTTTTCTCATTTAAAATTTCTAATTAAGAAAAATTTAATAGATACTTAAATTTTAATAAAAAATATATTATGTGGCTTTTCTTTTTATCTTTTTTCATCCTTCCTTCAGATACTTTTCCAGCCCCAAACAGCTGTCTACGAATCTCTGGCCAAGGACTGTGTGGCTAACAGCTGCTCGGTGACTCTCTTCCTCTTTCCCAGTCAGTTTGTGGATGTGGCTTCCTTGGGTCTAGTTCCCCTGCTCACGGGAGGAACGCTTTACAAATACAATGTTTTTCAGGTAAGTGGCAAGCCGCCTGTTCTTCTCAGTTCCTTCCTGTTTGAGTTTTGAGTCTGTCTCTGTCTTTCTCCCTCTCTTTCTCTGATGCTGTCTCTCACGCACCCCCATGTGTGTGTGTGTATGTGTGGTGGGGGACTCGAGTGTATGTATGTGCTGCTTCTGGTGGTCAGGGCAGGACTTTAAGGAGTCAGTTCTCTCCTGCATCTAGTTGGGGTAGAATCTCCCTTGTTTCTATTACTCTATCACTGTGCACTGTCCTGGGCTGGCTAGCGGGCAAGCTTTCTGGTGGCTTCTGTCTGTGCCTCCTGTCTTACCCTAAGAGTTTTGGGATTACAGCTTTGAGCTATCACACCTAATTATTGTTGTGTGTCTGTCTCGTGTGTTTACATGTGGCTCGGGACCAAGCTCAAGCCCGTAGGCTTACACAGAAGTGTTTTTAAGGGCTGAGCCATCTCTCCAGCCCAGCTTAAGTTTGATGCTTAGATCATAGGGTAAGAACGTTGTGTCCCATTGTGGACAACTAGCAAAAGTAAATTCAAGCAATGTAAAACCGCATGGGTTTGATTGGCTTCCCACTGATGTTAGCCAGCCAGTCACACTAGTCATGCGCTTTGCTGTGGGGGAAAGTATACTTCCATACATACAAAGTATAGGGAAGTTAGAGATACCTAAGATAATATTTGAGAATGCAATTGCATGTTTGTTTTAATTGGATGAAATCTGAGGCAGGTTCAGCTCATTACACCCTCTACTCTCCCACTCTGGACTAACATGCCTCCCCTGCATTTGGCGAAGGCATCCACGCCAGTTTAGGATAGGCAGTCACAAGCTTTTCCTGTGGACACTTGTGCCTTGAAGGCTTACTGTATTCAGACACAGAGAATAGACATTGCCTCCTCCTGAGGAGGGGCCTGTCTAGGTCACTGATATCTGTGTTCCACAGGGCAACTGATCATACATAGAGGGGTGTTTTCCTAACAGATGACAAATGCTCATCCTGTTTTGGTTTAAGAGTGATAAAGCAGCTAGTTGTATATTTGCAGTGGACGTTAACTAAGATTGAAGAAGTAAGTAAAGATTGAGAATGAAATACGTTTTTTTAAAAAGCTTTAGGAACCCTTTGAAGACTTGTGGATAAATATAGGTCTGCAGATACACTTGAATATGAGGTCTTAATAATGATAACAGACACTCATTACGTCAGAATTCTGGGTATTCGAGGCACAGTGCAAGCATCTCAGCTCATTCTCCAGTGAGGAACATACATTTGATCAGAAACCTCCATCTTCTTAATAAAGTCCTGGGCGGGGTAGCGCTGGGGTCCCAAATGGGTGAAGCTATTGTCATTGAAGTGAGTTAGCTGCACAGTGATACAGGGCGGTGTTGGCAAGAGGCACTGGATGTCACCGCTGTTGATTTCATCCCCGTATGTGTTTCAGTAGTATGCTAGTTCTGTATAATTTTTGATATAAGCCCTTTACTTGCTTGTCAATATACAGAAGCTTATTATTGATTTCATCATGTTATTAAAAAAGAAGTGCTGTCATAATCCAGTGGGAGAAACCCATTGCAATAAGGACTAGAATATTTTATAATCAGTGTTAGTGTTATTTTTGGCTATGAGTCCCCTCAGCTTTTATGTGCATTGTATAGACTGGATCATATCTTAGCATTTATTTCTTAGCTTTAAAAGCAAAATTTTAATAGCATCTTCCATTAAATAATATTCCCGGGTGTAAATGACGGTCAAGAGCACAGTCAGGCATCTGGTGTGTACCTGAAGTATCTTTTATGAGTACTGTCTGTGATGTCTCTGTTTCCTTTCAGCTTCTCTTTGCTTTGGGGATTGGGAACGCGAGTCTGTGTGTGCCTCTGTGTGTGTGTGTGTGTGTGCACTCACCTCTTGTGCCTTTCTGTGCCTGTCAAGCAGAAATGGTGAGAATCTTATAAAAGTCTACCTGACCAGGTCAGATATACTGCATTGACTGCTGCCTGTCAGCGAGGTCGTGTTCTAGGTGAATCTCAGCTGCACATGGTGCAGTGCTTCATTAGTATTGCTTAGGTGTGGGCTGTGAGCAGCCTTCAGAGTTAAAGAGAGAAGTCAGGAAGTTCAAGGGAAGTGTTTATCCTCCAGACGCTATATGTACTCTGACTGAGCCTTATGCTATGAATATGGTCAAATAAAAGACACCCGCTAACAACCTCCCCCACCTACACCGCCACCCTCATGGTGTCTTTCTCCAGCTTCACTGAATATATTAAACCATGCATTGTTCTCTGTGTCTAACACTAGACCCTTGAGTGACTCGCTTATGCTATTGTTTCATTTGCAAAATAAATGAATATTCCCATCTAAATGTTATGAAGATGAAAAATAAGTAAGGGTTTTATTTATTAAAACTTAAGAGTCACTACCAAAGATCATGTACTTTCATAAGATCATATATGTACATAAGATATCCATGTAAGTATGCTAAGTCAAAATATAAAAAGTGGTATGACATGAGTTGAAAGTAACGTTATTTGAAGTCTTTTACTGCCACCTGGTGGCCACTGATCACACTTTATCTTGTAGATACAGTTGGACAGCCAAAGGTTTTTGAACGACCTCCGGAATGATATTGAGAAGAAAATAGGCTTTGATGCCATTATGAGGGTTCGAACCAGCACAGGTAATCTCACGCACACCATTTCACGTCTCTTCTGCATAGTTATTGTCTCTTAGAAAGATATCAAGATTTCGAGATGCAAATTTTCCTTCCCCCCTGTGCTTTAGGTTTCAGGGCCACTGATTTCTTTGGTGGCATATTCATGAACAACACCACAGATGTGGAAATGGCGGCCATCGACTGTGATAAGGCCGTGACTGTAGAGTTCAAGCACGACGACAAGCTCAGTGAAGATGTCGGGGCCCTGATCCAGGTGACTAAGCCGCCAGATGTGTTCCTCTCTTCATAACAAAGCTCAACTCTTTCTCCAAAGCTTGAGTCCTTAGAGCACTCTTGAGTGGCTTCCCCACAGGTCGATATGTATATGCTACTTATGTGGCACAGCAGTTCTTGGCCTGGCCATCTGCTGTGAAGGGTCAGGCATCAACAAACTGGTTTCTGTGAAGTGTCTGTGTCCAAGGTTCTTGCAGTCATGTGACCCTCCCCTAGTTAGTTCATTTTAGTTAATTTGCCCTTTTAAAGGTACTCCCTCCATGTTCTTCCCTATGGAAGAGCACACCAATTGATTGTCCAGTGCCAGATGGCCAGCCCAGAAAACATGCATACAAGTGACATTACATGTTATAGTGTTTTAGTGAGGAATAAATACATATCCATATATACATGCAATAACAGTTAGTGAGATAAGAGGCCCTGGGTTTTAAGGGGAAAGTGGAGGGGTTAATGGGAGGATTTGGAGAGAGGAAAGGGAAGGGAGAAATGTTGGGATTCTATTAATCTCAAAAAAGAGAAGGAATGAGATGAGGAACTGTGGGAGGGCAGACCAGGATGGGGATAATGTAAAAAAAAAAATTAAAGAATAATACTACTAATAATAAATAAACAAATATATTTATTAATTAATTTTGTAAAAGTTAAAAAAAAAGAGAAAGGTTCTACCTCCCAATGAAGTTTTATTCTAAGGTGCTGGGGGTCAGAACTTCAGCATATAGGGGTCATAATTTAGTCTCTGGGATTATCTAAGCATTATATCATAGGCTAGTGGAATAGGACTTGCTGTGAGTAAATATTAGTTAAAGAAATAAAATAAGGAAAATATAAAGATCATACTTTTCAAACATCAGCTTTGTACTGAAAGGGTAGAGAGACTGGCACTGGATGAGGAAAAGTTTTAATGCTTGGTTTTGAATCAGTGGTGCCTGGGTAGTGGCTATGCTCCAGCAGACCTCAGTGCACCGTAAAATAGCTATGCCCTTTCATGGGAAGGGAGCCTGGGCAGAGCAATGAATGCATGCCAACTTTGTTTCTGCACCTAGATCCCTGGTAGTAAAATCTGTGAAATGCAAGTCCGTGTGTGAAATGTGCACAGGTATTTACATGTGACTAGCTCGACAGCTTAAACCACTGAAATGTTACAGTGAATGAATCGTTCTTTCCCCGGGTATTATTCAATCTTCAAAAATAAAGGAGAAGCACTGGAAATTTTTAGAAATCATTCATCTGTACATATGATTCTATATATACCAGCATGATTAAGTTAGCTAGGCTGGATCTGGTGGGTAATACCCATGCCTCGATGTTGTTTCTGCAGTGTGCTGTGCTCTACACAACCATCAGTGGTCAGCGAAGACTCCGGATTCACAATCTCGCCTTAAACTGCAGCACCCAGCTAGCGGATCTGTACAAGAACTGTGAAACGGATGCCCTCATCAACTTCTTTGCCAAGTCAGGTAGCATCTTGCTAATCTCATAGCTCGGTGATTCAGTCGAGACTCATTGGGTAATTAGTCGGAAGCCAGAAAATACTGCAAGAACCAGTGAAGTCGAAGGTTGGAGAATGGCCAGCTCCTCCAGCCGTAATGAGGGAGACCAGCCTCTCTGGGGTCAGACCACACAGACTTGGCCCAAGTTTTCTTGCTAGTGAGGAGTCTGAGGTGAAATTTAAGTGTGTGAGTGTGCCCTCCAGCACTGCTGACTTACACCAGTGTTGATTGTCTGCGCCCTGATGACTAAGATGGAGGCTGGGTGATTTCCTTGCCCTTCTGAAAGTCTACACTTAAGGTATGGAAGAGAGCATTCCAGCCAGCAGAAGTCAGGACTTGGGGAGATAACAACCTGGCCTGTCTTTTCTGTATATGGAATTCTATCTCTAGTAGTCTCAAGATAGATATGGGTCAGTGTAACCCTTTGCTATAATTAGGTCATCGTCCCTCTTTGCCTAGATCACACTATTTACTCAAAAGAGGAGCAATAAGAGAGCGCTATCCTTGTTTGGTGGTCCGAAGATAACAGCAACTTGTTCTTGGTTATTATCCAAAGAGATAAGTTTCTAAAGCTTTCGTGTCTTTTCTATTTGCGGTTTTGTGCTTCTAGCTTTTAAAGCAGTTCTGAACCAGCCTTTGAAGACCATCCGGGAAATTTTAGTTAATCAGACTGCCCATATGTTGGCATGTTACCGGAAGCACTGTGCCAGTCCGTCTGCAGCAAGCCAGGTGAGGTCCCCACTGTGCTAAGCAGCCAGTATGCACAGAGCAAGTGCATGCAGCTATTGTTCCAAGATGTAGTCAAGTAGAGCATGCAGTCAGGGCAACTGAGGATGCAGCTGTGTGGGGGTGGGGGGATGGTGACCATGGACTTACATACCTTTGTACCCAACATCAAAAAAAGAAACTTGGGTTTTACAAAGTGTCTGAACCAAAAATGTGACAGTCACAAAGACACTGTTTATAAACAGAGAAATGTCACAATATGCTAGTATTCTCTTTTGTTTATAGACCTAGGTATTTTGTTGTAAAATGTGCATGCTTAAATATATTTTAGGCATATAAATAAGGTTGCCATGAACTGATGGCAGTAGTAACAGTGACTCTCTAAAAAGTAAATATAATTTATTACATAAATGGTGGGATTATTTTCATTTAAAAGTTGTATATATAGACCTGGCTGCCCTGCCTCTCCCTGTATAGACCAGGCACTCCTTGAATATGTGGCAATCCTCCTGCCTCAACTTAAACATTATTAATAGAATCGACTTAGAAACAACTGTCTCTGTGCATCATCTAAGTGATTTGAACATTTAGGTAAACCTTGAGCCATTTGCTTTGCTTGTGTCTTCTAAGCACATGCTTCCCTGTGTCAGTAAAGTTAGATGCTGGTTTTCAGGGTTGGATCCTGATTATCTAACTAATTTTGATTGAAAAAAGAATTCTGTGAGCAACTAGTGGAAAATCATTTTCTAATTCATCCTTTGTTAAAGTAGTTACTCCACCTTTGAGAAAGCTGTTAGCAGGAAGAGAATACAAATTCTGCATCTAAATTTACCAGCTGAATGAAGGCAAACAAGGCAAGCATTTCTTAGCCTGCACTTTACAGGGAAGTCCCCTTCCAACCACCTGAAGTGACTACTCATCCCTTCTTCTAACTTCTGTGTTAACAGTTAAGCATGGCTGGGGTCAGTTCTCTTGATTATTCAGGATCTTTTCACTTTGGTGAACTCAAGTTTCAATACTATTGCATAAGTCAGGCATAGTGGCATACATCTGGGGAGGGAACAGGATCAAGGTTCCAGGTTATTGAGGCCTACCTCAGCTCTATGAGACCCTGTCTCAAAAAGAGCGGAAGGAAGGGAAGGGGGAGAGAAAAAGGCAAGCAGGTAGGCAGAATTTGGAAGTGTGCTTGTTTGAGTCACGTGATCCCACCAGGTGCTTATGGAACCCATCTTGGATGGAGTCCAGTCATGAGCACTTTGCGCCCATCCTTGCTACTCATCTTGGATTTCTGGAAGGTACTCTTCTGCCTCTGTAGTATCTCCCCTTTCAGAAGGAGCAGTTGACATAGAGCAGGTACAATTAGTGTCTTCTCTTGAAGTTTATATGCTGGTATCAAAGTGGTTTGCCTTTAAAGACCTTAACTGAAAAAACAATCTTGTTTATCTAAGGGGAAAAGTAAAACATATCATCTCGTTCTGGTTTATAAGCTAGAAGACTTGTGTCTACACCAGATCGTCTGTTCTTATGGCTTAAACATAGAACAAACCAATGTGACACTTGTTTTACTCAGGGTGAGTCAATAGAGATGATTCCTGCTCTTTGAAAATGAGATTTTTTTTTTCCTTCTTCATTTGAGCCTTTCATTGCACCAACAAAGCTAGGGCACTAACACTCGGGGAAGCTAGGGACTAACGATCCAGTGATGCTGGAACACTAACGATCCGATCACCTCCAGCACCCACCTCCAAATACTGGTACACTGAAGACCAAGCATCTTTAGAGCACTTTCCATACCCAGACCCCAACACCAAACTAGACCATCAAGACACACACTGTGATTGTGTAACAGACCTGAGTGGACTACTTTTGCTCAATTGCCAAAGGCAAGTGAAGCCACTTGGATTCGAAATTGAAGGAAGCACCACTCTGACTCAGATGCTCAGCCATGAGAAGCATCAAAGGAATGTTCCAGCAAATGTTCTGGTTTATATAAGTGGATTAATTACCTTTAAGAAAGCTAATAAGCCACTTGTATTATTTGGGAGTAAAATGTTCCTCAAAAGGCAAACCAGGGGCTGAAGAGATGGCTCAGCAGTTAAGAACACTTGGAACTCTTGTAAGGCCTGAATTTGATCTCCAACAACCACATGGTGGCTCACAACCATCTGTGACTCCAGTTCCAGGGGATCCTACGCCCTCTTCTGACTTCTGAGAGCGCTAGGTATTCATGTACTCCAAAGATGTTCATTTGAGCAAAACATTTGCACACCTGAAACAGTGAAGTCCCCTTTAAAAAAAAAAAAAAACAAGACTGAGACTTTAACTACAAAATTGCCATTTTTTTTTTTTTGGTTTGACTTCTTTGTCCTTAGAAAATGCAAAATGTTTTCCAAACTCAGTCAAACAGGGTTCCATGAGTTTTGACTCACCCCTAAACAGTAACTTTCTCTCCAGGGTAATTTCATTATGGAAGAGGGAAGCTCAGGGGAGATTTTACAGTAATAATCTGTGACACATTTTCCTTTTAGCCTCAAAACTATTAGTAAGACTTTTCTTCTTGCTTTCTTCTACTCTTTAATGATGCTTTTCTCCATCGGCTTTCTTTCCTGTTTCTCTTCTTTTCTTCCCTTGCTCCATACAACCCAGCCTCCTCTAGTCAGCCTCTGTAGGGTTGTCTTCATAAGTGCCAAGCTCACCCTGCTGTGGTATTTAAAATGATGGATCTATAAACAACCTGAATATTCCTAGTTGACTTGCGACAGTGAGTAAAATTCCAAGATATTGAAAGGGTATATATGTACTTCTATTTGTGAAGCCAAGGGCATTTATTCTTCATACCATGTTATAAATTGCTTAGAAATGGGACTGGGGCTACTGGCTCTGAAACGTGACCATGTTCCAGTTCCCACATCTTCTGTTTACTCACTTTGGTGCCTCCAAACGAGATCAGACGTTGAGGTGAATCATTCTGGAATGTGCTTGCCTAAATCAGCTAAACAGTTTGTCCTTTCTACTCCTTACTCAGCAGATGGCTAGAAGAGACTTCTGGTATGAAGGCGTATGGTGTAAGATGTGGGATACATCCTGTCAGAGTCCTGAGGCAGCTTTTCTTGTCATTGAGGATTCTGATAATAGACACACACACACACACACACACACACACACACACACACACACACACACTTTTTTCATTAGTAAGGTAGATGGCTAAAGAGCTAGGAAGATTTCTGACAGTAAAGTCCTTGCATCACAAATATGAGGACCTCATTAATCTCCAAAGCCCATATCAAAACGCTGGGCACAGTAGAGGGCTGTGATCTCATGCTGGGGAAGCAGACACGGGAGGATCCCTGGGGCTCACCATTCTGCTGCTCTGTCTTTAGTGGTGAGACTGTCTCAAAGGAAGTGGAAGTCCATCCTGATATGATACCTGAAGTTGTCTTCTGTCCCGCCTGCATGCAGGCACTCGTGCACACACATACACACACACACACACAGACACAAAGAGAGGTAAGCAGGCACACAAAAAGAAAGCTAAAAGTAGGAAAAGATCGTGAAACAAGTGTTTTCTCTTTCAGCTCATCCTGCCAGACTCCATGAAAGTGCTGCCTGTGTACATAAATAGCTTGTTGAAAAACTGTGTGCTGCTCAGCAGACCAGAGATCTCCCCTGATGAGCGGGCGTACCAACGGCAGCTGGTCATGACCATGGGCGTGGCTGACTCCCAGCTCTTCTTCTACCCCCTGCTCCTGCCAATTGTAAGCACGGTCCCTGGAGATGTTTGGGAGGGAAGACTGTGTTGGGGTCTTGTTCCTAAGAAATTCAAAGTCAGAAATGTGCAGCCCGGGCCCGTCGCAGAAGCTCTCAGGCATGTTTATATGCTCAGCGCGCCTGGGGAAGGATGTCAGGAGTCCTGTTTCACTAGCTTGTTCAGATTGCTTTCCTTTCTGCAATTCTCAAGTTGGTAATAATCGATTAAGTAGGACCCTTTAGAAGTCTATAAACAAGCTGGTGCCAGAAAACTTCAATCGGATTCCACATCTTAGGAGACCACTTTACCTATGCTGGGGGAATCTTGCGTGGGCATGCATGGTCTATTTTTCTGTAATGTGTGACTGTCTAAGAGTCACCATGTGCATTCAAAGGCTAACAGATGAACATATACATGAAGGTACCCATGTTATGCAAGAGCCCAGCTGCTTATGTCCTCAGTGGCTCCCATGGCAACGCATTCCTCTCTGTTGAGGTATTGTTAACATCTTGAAAGCCCTGCCCTCTGCCTGGACTCTTTCTTCCTGAGATACAGAAGACTGCTGGTGGGTTGTATACAACTCCTCCTTGATCACAGTGGTTACAGACAGTAGGCACTTAGTAGTGATGTGACCAGTGAGAAAACATGTTAGAAAGAAGGGAGATTAGTTTGATGAATTGAGAAGGTAAAAAAAGAATTATTTCAAATGATCGATTGCCACATAAAATTGTATGATCAATGGTGGATGGGCCAAGGGGTTAGAAACCAGAGTCCAGCCCGTGGGAAGTGTCTCCTTGCCTGAATTCCATCCCTTGGTGGCCCTTGTGTTCTGTGTTTTAGATATCATTTACTGACGGCACATTCCTATCTCTGCATGGGTAGCCACATCTGCCCCACATTTGTTGCCCCCAGACTCAGACATAATCGTCACTGTGCTGCAGTCTCCACCTCGTGACTCTGCTTCTTCCCACCATCCTCTGCTCCAGTCTTCTTGCAGCTCGGAGGTCAGACAGAGTGATCCTATTCGGATAATGGCAGCCTGGCTCTGGGCTCCACGGCCAGTCCAGAGCATCACTGGCCCAGTGTTAGCCTTCTCCACCCCTTGAGCTCTGTCCTCTTCTATCGTGATAGCCACACGGGTCTCTGCTGATCCTCAAACACCCTAGTCAGGCTCTTACTTCAGGACCTGCACCTACGTGTTTCTCTGTGTCTGGAATGTTCTTTTTCTTTCCCCAGGCTCAGCTCCTCACCTTTTCTCACCTCCTCAGGTAGCTTTACTCAACATTACCTTTGTCAGCAGCCTTCCTGTGCACCCTGCCCCCACATTGACACGTATCCTAGTTATCATTTGCTTCCTGCACAGTTCTCAATGGCCTCTACAAGTATGCAAGTCTTATTTTATGTAACAGGTCTTTCTTCCTCAAAAAGACCATTAGCTGCACAAGGCAGAGATTCTTGTAGGTTTTAATTAACTATGTACTTAAAGAGGGGAAGGGGGAAAGAGAAAGGAAATGAGAGGAGAGAGGAACAGAGGCATGGTTCTTAGTCTCTTGACTTTGTCCAAACAGCACACGTTAGATGTGAAGAGTGCAGCGCTGCCACCAGCCGTCCGCTGCTCCGAGACCCGACTCTCCGAAGAAGGAATATTCCTGCTGGCTAATGGTCTGAACATGTTCTTATGGTTTGGAGTGGGTAGCCCACCAGAGCTGATTCAGGGAATATTTAATGTGCCATCGTTTGCACATATCAACACAGATATGGCAAGTATTCTTCAGTTTTATGATAAACTACAAATGTAAATTCTTAAATTTTATGCGCAGTTTTATGATACAAAGAAGAAAAACTGTGTGTGTTTATATAGCTCAATATGAGAATTGTATATTGAGGAATAAAATTTAGAAAGTGTAAAATAATTTACTAAAGTGTTAACCTAAACATGGATTCACTAGAAATTGATAATACAGAGGTTTAGAGAGATGGCTTGGTAGCTTTGAATGTTTGCTGTCCTTGTAGAGGACCCAAAACACACACACACACACACACACACACGAACACAAACAGACACACATGAACACACAGACACACACACGTGAACACACAGGAACACACGCAGAGACACACACGAACACACACAGAGACACATGAACACAGACACTCATACACATACAGACACACATGAACACACACACATGAACACAGACATACACACAGACATACACACAGACACACACATGAACACACACAGACACACACACATGAACATACACACA